ATTTTCTTGTACTTTGGACCCAGATTTTTTAAACATAATTAATTCAAGGGTTCTTATTCTTTAGGACAAAAACCCCACCCAGTATTTTTGTTATGTAAGTTTTTTCAAATTCATTAATTTCATATACTAGGTGGCAATGTCGAAAAGCCGGTTTAAAGCTCTATTTTTAATATTTTAGAAAATTAATAGGGCTACAAAATGTTTATCGTAATAATTTACCTTAAAATGTGCGAAATATTTGGAAAAAAGTGAAAAAAACAAAATTTTAATTCAACACAAACTATGTTTTTTATTCATTTGTATAAATAAAAAACTCTTTAAGAAAAAATTATGAGATTTTATAAAAATTATTTGATTTTTTACTTTCTATTGTGCAGTATACAGGGGCCAATATATTCACTAAAAACTGATTTTTCATTTTTCACCACGGTTTGACTGAACTACTGGTAAAAAATAACGATGTAGCTCAAGTCCCGAGGCGGGACTTAACTTCGATCCCGACTGAGGTCACACACTGTTAATCGGTTTTTATTCCCCGAGCTTTTAAAATTGGTGTCAAGCTGAATGGCTCAGATGGTAGGGCGGTCGCTTGTTTTTAACCAAAATTATTATTTCACATTGAGGTTTTTCATTAAACTAATTTTGCTCTTTTAAATTCAAAATTAGGTTTTAAACTTTTCCTAGATATATTCGGCACTTCCATTTTTCCTTTTTCTCTTGTTCTATCCCCTGTTTCTTCTTTATTAAATATAAAAATTTTAAATAAGGTTTTTTCTAATTTGTTTTCCTTTAATTTATTCAAAATTTTTTTATTCACATCTTTATCTAATCTCTCATTATTTTTCTTTGAAATCACTTACTGAGCACTCTCCCCAAAATCGCCATGCGAGTAAAAGCGGAGCAGCACCAAACAATTTAAATAATCTAGGTCCTCTGCGATATAAGGTTTAGACAAGGAGGTTAATTACTTAAGTTTTAACCTCCTTGTCAACTCAAAATTCCCTCCCACACTCTCCACTACTCGTTCACCATTCAAAGCCTTCAAAATTTCTAAATTTCTTCAAAATTCCCTTTGTATACCATACCTTTATATCGTAGTTAGGCTGATTACAAAATTTTATATGTATTATATTTAAATAAACTTATTTGGAATTTGGAATTTTGGTCGCTTGGCATGCGAGAGGTACCGGAAACGATTCTACTAGAAGTTGTCAAACTTTTTTTATTTTATAAATTTGTTGTTTCTTTGTTAAAAAGTGTTTGGTTGTGTTGGGTTGGGTTGGGTTGGTTTGTTTTGGTTTTATTGTAACATAAAAAATCTTAAAATTATGACGTCAATAGGGACTGAACTTAAGTCCCGCCTCTGGACGGGAGCCACATCAAAAAAATAAATTTAAACGTAAAAAATAATTTAAAAGTAACTTAGAAAGTAAGTAAAATATAAACATTCAATTTTTTCTTTCTTGATCCATTACTGATAATATTTATAAGCAAAAATTGAACTTACACCTCGCCAAAGTTTTTTTTGTTTTGTTTTTAAATATCTTAAATATTAGGTGTAAAACGAAACGATCTGTACAGTTTGCAGAAATACTGTAACAAGACGATCGCGACAAATCAAGTGCGGTTTTTGTCTGCGGCTCTATCACAAATAGTGTGCTAGCCTTTCCGACAACCAATTTAAAACTAACGATGTTTTTTATTGGAAATGCCTTATTTGTAAAGCAAAAAGTAAGTGGAATATAAAAATACCTGAGAAGGAACACGACAAAAATAAAATCATTGAAATACATATATTAAATAAAATATTAAATGAAATTGATTTTTAAAACATTAAAGCTTGATGTCCAAATTTTCCGAAACGGGGTAAAAACTTGACATTCATTGGCATCCAGTAGTTGAAATTAATGAATTTTAAAAAACTTATAAAACAAATATACTGGGTGGGGTTTTTTGTCCCAAAGAACCCATAAATAAATTATGTTTCAAAAATCAACTTTTATGTCCAAAGTACAAGAATGTTATAATATTCTCTTTTTTTACTTTTTCTGATAAAAATATACGTGTTTTGCAACGTGTTTGTCTTTAGAGTTGTGCCACTTAAGCATGATTAACATATTAAATTTCCTTTTTACAATTTTGTGCTAAAAATATTGTCTTTAAAAAACGTAATTTATAAAGCAAACCTAGGTATATTGGATTTAGAAAACATTTTTCCATAAAAGAGGGATATTTTATAAAAACCAAAAAACAATTATGTATAGGAATCAAAATTTTCTTGTGTTCTTTGTGGTTTTATCTATTTTTTATTTGCCTAATAATCACAGTTAAATTTTAACAAAACACAGTAAGTAATATATGTACGGAATTACCGTAAAAACATTTTACCACTTACTCCAACCTCTTGAACCGCTGTAACCACCATATCCGCCCAGTCCACTGGATCCTATTCCAACTGAATATCCAGATGAGTATCCACCGCCAAAACTATATCCACCTCCCAATCCTCCTCCAAGACTACCTCCATAACCTCCTACAGCAACAGGTACTGCCACTTTCTTAATAACTGGTACTGGAACTGGTTTATATACAACAACGGGATGAGGTACTGGGACAGGGACTGGTCTTGCGATTGGTACTTTAACAGGTACAGGGATTTGTTGAGTAATGATTGTGTTACTGGATCCCAATCCAATTCCACCTCCCAGTCCACTACCATATCCACCCAGTCCTCCCAATCCGATACCACCGCCTAATCCACTGCCATATCCAATGCTACCTCCATAGCCACTTTCGTGGCCTCCTCCATAACTTCCCCCATAACTACCTCCATAGCTTCCAAGTCCGATACTCCCAGCACCAAGGCCGTGAAGAACTCCTCTTTTAACTCTTTCTTCACCTGCCAAGGCGGCGGAGATACCAAGTACTAGGACTAAAGCCTATAAAGTAATGTAAATATTAATAATAATTAATATAATTTTAAAATTAACTTTATAAATATATATTTTATTTAATACTTACAATGGACTTCATGATAGTTAAACTAAATGATACAGAATATATGGTATTGGACCATTTACAGGTTTTTATATAAGTTTAAAAAAAATAGTGGGACTCAAATTTCGCAAAATGTTTTAAATGGCAATATATGCAAAATTAATTAAATTATGGTTTTATTTTTTGATTTTATTGATTTCTAAATTTTTACAGGTGTTTATATGTTACATTATTAATCTAGTAAGATTATCATACCTAAATAACAAGCATATATTGTAATTCAAATTTGCAATAATACTATTTGTATTAATAAAATATTAAATAATGTCATAAGAAACATGTATTTTTTATACAATTTATTAACCTATTACGGATAAAAATTAAAATATTAACAGTTTATTTATTTATGCTAACAAAGTGGAAGCTTTAAAGTTTTAAATAAAAATAAAATAATATTTTTTTAAGTCATTAGGGCTAGAAGTGGTATAATAATTAAAACAAAATTTGTATTAAAATATTATTAACAAAACAATAAAATTCACCCAAAAAAAATTACTGAATTATTAAAAGTATAGACAAGATTTTTGTTAATGGTGAACAATTTTGCCATTAATTTCAAAACATATCTAATTAACAAATGGATAATTCCAGGACCTTTGTCATTCAAGAAAATCCCTTTTTCTCCCTTTTATCTGAACATATAGTGAGTTTCATTTTGATTGGCCACAATTAGGTACCTATTTATTTAAAAATAGATCAATTTAAAAAGATATTATTTTAGTTTAGAGTACTCGAAAAACTTTTTTTTTTGAAAAAAATTGTTATGTCATTTTCATGGCCCGCTATGATTAATAGAAGGTCTCCAAAAACGTCAAAAGTTATCAAGCATTTTTAAAACTTTAAAACAGATAGAATTTTTGAATTTTTGGTCAAAAAGTAAGGTTAAATTTGTAAAGCATTCTGTATTTTCTTTAGTGATTACAAGAACTTCACATTCGCTTAGTTTTGTTACTCTAGCTTATACAGAGTGTTTACAAATTAAGTTCAAAAGTAAAAAAAAAATAATGGAATTTTAAATAGTAATTAGAGGGAAAACAATACTTAATAAACTTTTTAAAAGTAATCTTTTAAGTACCAGTACACATTTGTGTATAGTTCATTCATTAATATTATGCCTCTAATTAAATTAATATTTATTTTTAATATAACTTTATTTTTTTAAATGTTTGACCTTAATTTGTGAACACTCTGTGTAAGCTAGAGTAACAAAACTAAGCAAATATGTAGTTTGTGTAATCCTTTGCAAAATCTTTATTAGAAATTAATTTTTTTTTTAATTTAACCGTACTTTTTGAACATCCTCAATTGTATTACAAATTATCTTTTTAGGAGTTTTAAGGTATCACAAATTAAGAAACACTATTCGTGTTAAATTTTAAAAATGCCAAATACCATCTGAAGTTTTTTGAGTTTTTCTATTAATCATAAAAAGCAATGAAAATGACATGACAATTTTTTCTTTAAAAAATAAAGCTTTTCAAGAATTACAGAGTGTAATTTACAGTTCTACGGGTACTAAAAATCGGATTATGTTTAAATAAATACGTAATTGTCGCCAATCAAAATAAAAGACACTGTATACTAAAATATCTTTAAATACTTTAAAGTTTGACCTACAATATCATTTTAATGGGTGCTTTTACGTATTAGTCCCGTTTTATTAAAATGCGTATTTAGAAATTGCGAACTTTCGTAACTTTTTTAGGGTCTGTCATTGACAGACTGTAATTCATAGTAACTTAGTGTTTTTTTGAAGATAAAATAGTCTATATGTTACTTGGAGCAAAAGGTATTTTTGTGCTTAGCTCAATTGCATTTCCTAGGCTGCAATCTTTTATTCCCAGCACAGAAAGACTCATTTCTCCTGCTAATAACATCTACTATTATTGCGTGGTCTGATATATACCTACCAACAAAAACTGGGATAAATAAAATATTTTATATTTTTTATATATTGTATATATTGCAAATAAAAAACTTAAAATAAGGACTAGTTAACAAAACAAAATAACATATGATAAATCAAATTTTGACTAAGTTTAATGATGATGGTCTAGGATGTTGTGGTGATGGTGGTGCTCCAAATGGTCATGATGGTGATCATGGAAATGACCATGAGGATCGTGACCATGCACATCAGCGTGCAATGGTACCAAATGGGCGTGGATGGCTACTGGTACTGGCCTCTTTACAATAACTGGGTGTGGTACTGGTACTGGTATATCTTTGAAAATTTTTACAGGTACTCTGTTTTCGTGGATGATTTTAACTGGAACTGGGACATTAACTTGCACCTTGTGCCATACTGGGTAAGGTTTGTTGACGTATTCTGGGACTGGGACATGCTTGATTACTTCATATGGGACAGGTACTTTTACATGGACTGGGTAAGGACGGTCAACAGGGACATCTACTGGATGAGGATGTGGGACTGGGACTCTACGTTCTACTTGGACAGGGTAAGGTTGAGCTACTTTGATTCCAATCTTTTCTACAACATCAATGTGACGTTGAACAGCTTGACCAAGATGTACGTGACCAATTACTCTGCGGTCCAAGATGGTTCCAGCACCCAGAGCGGGACCGGCACCCAAAGCGGCACCAGCTCCAAAGCCTTGACCTCCAAAGCCTTGACCAGCACCGAGAGCGGGACCACCGAAGCTTCCAAGTCCAGATAATCCTCCTGTCAAAAGAGGGCCAGCTTGGTTACTGTGTTCATCGATGATGCCACCAGCGGGTCCGTCGAAAGCAGGTCCAGAGAAACTAGGTCCAGAAAAACCTGGTCCACTAGCACCAATACCGGCACCACCCAAGTTTCCAAGTCCTCCGGTTAAAAGAGGTCCAGCTTGATGACTGTGTTCATCAATAACACCTGGTCCAGCTGACAATGGAGCGTTACCAAAACCAGGTCCTACAATGCTACCGGAATCGAACGAACCATGAATTGGGCCTGCAACTTCTCCAGAAAGAAGTCCACTACCATATTCAGGTCCGTGATTGTAATGGCCGTGACTGTGCAAGTCAGCACCTCCCAAACCTCCGCTCAAGATTCCACGTTTTTCGTGTTTTTTCTCTCCAGCGAAGGCTGCTGAGATGCATACAACGACTATTAACACCTTAAACAAAAAACACAAGCGTTAAAAACAAATATTTGTGAAATTTTTATTTTAAATATTGCTTTTACTTTAAACTGTGTATTTGAACAATTTTAAACGGTTTACAAGCTTAACGTTTATTGCAAAAAGTAAATTGCCAGAGCACCGACTTAAAAAAATTAATCACAAATTAGTATTCACTAATTATCACAAAATCCAATAGTATCACAATATGCACTTACAGTGGTCTTCATGTTGCTAGATGTATAAGAAATGAGAACAGAAGACTGACTGATTAAAAAATTAAATGTAAAGTTTTTATATGAAAATCTTCTCCTGTGAAATTTCCTATGGAGAATTATACATTTAGGCACTTTCTATAATGGTTAAATGTATTCATAAAAATGTCATATTATTAGGAAGCATAATAAATTTTTTATTTAAATTTAGTTTTGGCAATATTCAAATTTTTTTGAAGATCACATACGGAAATATTTCAATATCTAGTTTATATAACTGTGTTACCATAATGTCCTATAGATAAAAATATAAAACTTATTGGACTCAAGTTGATGGTGGTTGCAGTAAAATTTTTTTATTATTTTTCCATCATAACCAATAACAATAATAATTTAACAATAGCAGTATGAATTAAAATTAAAGGTTTAATGTTTGATAAAAGGATTGTTTATCTGTTAAGATTTTCACCTAATCTACATAATATAGATTATTAATACCTACATTATTAAGATGACCACATTTAATTCGTATATTAGTCGTTCTGTCTCTTGGTCTATTGACCAGGTGTATCTTTATTGCATAATTATTCAAATAAATAATGTTCAATGTTTAAACTCGTGAAACTATATTGACTAATGTTGCCTTTGATATTTAAAAAGAAAACTAGATAATTAAAAGATAAAGAAATTTATTTTTGGATTAGTAGGTAGGTTTATTAGTTTACCCAATAATATAATTTATAGTAAAATTAAAAATTTAAATTAAATTAAATACAAAAATATATAAGTTAAATAGTCTTTAGATAAAATGGTTTAAAAACAAAAGAATTGACAGAAAAACTTCATCTTCAACTCATTTATAAACATTTTTAGACACTAATTTAATTAAGCACTCGCTTGCAACCTCTCTCGTGCCTAAATTTAATTCGTAAATGGCGTTTATTAAATATCTATTAAATAATATTGTTTTTTACTTTCGTAAATAATGGTAAACATTATAAATTCCCTGCCTAACAATGGAAATATTGAACTCATTATTCACATTGGTAGGCATCAGTGATTGGTCGATTTTAATTATTTTTTATTTATTATTTTAATGTGCTTTTAACAGGCACCAGGCCTAATTACAGAAGTACACAATGACAAATACAAATACTCACTGCGATTTGAACCAATCGGTTTTAAAATTGGGAGCAGGCGGCTATACTAACATTGAGTCAAGCCAAGTGGGACCAGAAAATTTCACGAAATCACCGATTTTGAAAATAATCACATTATTGTGTAGTAGGCATGACTCATATGTCACAGTAAAAAATCGTTTTTTTGGTAATGTTATTAAGGTTGACAATTTTGTCAAACTTTAGAGCACGGTAAAATTGAAAAAATAGAATCTCTGGGACCACTCTGTATAATTGAATTAAATTTTACACACTATTGTAGAAATGTTTAGACTATATAATGATCATTTAATTAAGGTAAATTTGTTTAAATAAAAGAATTTTGCATACATTTATTATAAACAATTGAAATTTTGTATGTGTTCTTCACGCTGAATAAAAATTAATCTTGTGTCATAATATGCGGCAAAAGTTTCCGTTTAATAAGATGTACTCAAAAATTTGTCTTTTTATTTATTTTTTAAAACCATTGTACTTTCCAATTATTGGAGTAGAACAAGTATATATTATAGTATTACACTCGAGATTATGCGCATTATTCAATCGGATGATTTAAGTCTCTCGTCTGGTGACTCGAGGTCTTGAGGTTTGCGTCATACTCGTAAAGAATAGTGTGCATTATCTCTCTTTATACTATTTTCAGGCATTTAATTAAAATATTTTTTTAAGATTTTGTCACATTATTTTTAGGTTAGGTTCAACTGACATGATGGTATTTGTTTCAAGGCCAGTTTTTTAATAAAATTTACAAAATGTTGTAGGTTTATTTATCTTATTTATTGTCAAAATTTATATTTACAGTAAGTATACCTAGTAGAAATATCTAAAAATATCCTGTTACCAAAAGTAACACCCATCAACAGTGGTCACACACAAACCCTAGTAGGTAATCATTACAAAAATGCACGTATTTTGTTTTAACCCTCAGTTTTTATGTTTAGGTCAAGTTCATTTCTGGAATTACAGTCAACTTCCTCCAAGTCAAAAAAATCAAACAAAATCTGCTGTTCCTTTCGTTATTCAAGCAATACTTAACTAATTAATTAATTAGTTGCTAATATTTTATGCATAATAAAATTTAGATATGAATTTATATTTTAAAAAATATGTGCGGGGGACAGCAGCCGATAATATATAAATAAATTCGGTACGATGTCTTTAAACCATTTATCACTGGTCACTGGTCTGGCAAGACAGATTTCTGCAAATAATTTATACGACCACTTTCACCGTTCGAGCGTTATATTTAGATTTGTTGGTCAAACCAGATATTAATCTTTGCTTAAACGTAAAACGAAGAAAACATTGACAAGACTGCATTGCATTGTTTGCATATGACGTCCAGTTTTTTACTTTAATATATTAAGAAATCTGGTGGTTGTTAATCGTACCAACTTTCTTGTGTCGAAAAGAAATATAATACCTACATTTTTAAAATTGTAATGTTCTTTTTTTGGTTGTTTTGAAAATAATAAATAAAAGTGAACTGCAGTATTTTAAATAAATTAAATAATCTAATAATTGTTTATTTTATTTTAGTACACACTAGTTTTAGGCATAATAATCAAAAACTATGTATTATTTAGTAAATAAATTTAAAGAAACTGGGTCTTGGTGATTCAAGTATGCAAAAATTGCACATTTTACAAGAAAGTATCGTAAATGGCATATTTTTCGATTATTTTAATAAAAAGTACCTATTTGGGATATTAATACTGCAGTAGGGGCTCTTGTCAGGAATGTGTTCTCACTTTTAATAAAAATATGGTATCCATAATTAATATTAATTGCAAAACGTAGAACTGTCACTGTCTTCCTGTTTTTCCTTTGTATCCTCATCTTGGGCATCCCGATTGGACATTGTCTCAATGTCGTCAACCACCTTGTTGAATATTTCCAAATCTTCGCCAACTTAGTTGTCGTCTCATCTTCTTGATTTTCATATTCGTATTCCATTTCTGTCATCGTCGTCGGGTTCCTTCAGTTGATGTGCTTCATCCTCTTAAGGGGCAACACGGCTTTTTGCCTTTTGGTTTGAACTTTTGTCTGGGAACATCACTTACCAATTTTTTCTCTGGTACGGTCCAACGAACTTTCTTGCCATTTTTGCGCTTGTATACTGTTCATTGCTATTTCGTTTTATCATCACCAGATATCCTTGTTACAATTTTTGTATTCAGCTTATCCTTTTTTCTTATTTATAACTATTACTTCTATGAAACTTTCCCTACCCACACATAATTATCCACCATCACTTTTTCGTTTATTTTTTCCTTTTATTACCAAACAATATTTACAACGTTCTTTTTTTCACTCAAAACGTAGAACTGTCACTATAGATATATCTTTCTATTTTTCCTTTGTATCCTCAGTTACAGCTAATCGATAGTTTTGGGTTATATATTATATAATGTGCACAATACAAAATTCCGCATCGTTACTAAACAGTCAACCTACATTTAAAAAAAAACATAAAAATTAGATGAGGGGATCGCGAGGACATCAACATTAAAATTGTTGCCAACTTCTGTGGCCGGTTTTTTTTTTCGGTCGGATGAGTGTAGTTAGGTAATAATAACTGATACAAATAATTTTGTTTTTGCTGTAATTTTGACTTACTACTTAAATAATCTAAAAGAAATTACTTTATTATTATAAAAAATCGGCAATGTTTCCAATTGTGCAATGCGCATTGCACAACATAAATCTGTTATAAATATTTTACAAATTACTGAAGATGATGTTTTGTAGATATTTTATTTCTGAGCTACAAGATCCAACATGTAAATTTTTAAATTAATTATAATTATAAAGGAGAAAAACCTAAAAAAAATAAAAATGAAATTTCACATGACCATTTTCCAAAATTTGTAGATATGATTTTTTCCCTAGCAGGGTGGCTTATGAACTTTTTGAAATTCCACCTAAAAAATAAAATACATAATGAACTTTTTAATTTTTTTTTAAGACTTAGTCTGTAATGAAAGATATTATAAAAAAATAGTTTAGAATTTGATAAAACCTATTTTTAGTATAGCGTAGTTTTAATTTTTTATTTTTTCTGATTGTCGACTACATCTATAAGTGTCTAACAGTACCCACCGTAACGATTTTAATAAAAACTGCATTCAGTTTTAAAAGGCTAAGAAACACAAGTACCTCCATCTATATATGAAAAGTAAAATATTTGTGCACAATAAAGAATGCTATGAAAGTAAATACGAGGGTGGTTCAAATATAAACCGGAATTTTTGAATAAACGGGCGAAAAATTTAGTGTCGTAAAAGTGGCTGCACTGGATGTTAGACTGGTCTGTTACGAAGCGTAGAGAACAGCCGGGACTCCGTAACCTCGCTTTTCAGTGTAGTTATAGCCATGAGCGAGAAGGATGTACCAGTGTCTGTTGCGCAACGCATCATTATTCGTATTTTGGTCAAAGATAATGTAAAATCCGCGGAAATTTTATCAAAAATTACTTGAGCAGTTCGGGGATGAGTGCCTCTCCAAGACCCAAGTGTATGAATGGTGTTCCGCTTTCCGAAAAGGCCGAGAAGTGGTGGCACTTGCCATATGCGCGGCGCCCCAAAACAAGTGTTACAGATGAGAACGTCAGCGCTGTAGAAAAACTCATTTTGGAAGACCGACGCAGTACTGTACGCGATATGGCTGAAGAATTGGGCATCAGCGTAGGTAGTATTGAGCAAATAATTCATAAACGGCTCGGTTACTGCTAGATGGGTGCCAAAACTTCTGAATTTTGAGCAGAAATTCACACGCTGGGAACTTTGATGAAAACATTGAACGAATTGGATTGGGAAATACTGGAACACCCTTCTTAAAGTCCCGATTTGTCGCCATGCGACTAGTATTTGTTCGGTCCATTAAAAGAGGCACTTGGCGGACTGCGATTCGAAAGCAATGCGGAGGTAGAATCCTTCGTGCGCGAATGATTACGTGACAAGCCGAGAGATTTTTACGAACAAGGCATCCGAAAGCTTCCGGAGAGGTGGCAAAAGTGTGTAGAGTGTGACGGAGACTATCTAGAAAAATTGTAAAAAATTTTAGCTCTGTAACTTAATAATAAAAAATTTTATAGCAAAATTCCGGTTTATATTTGAACCACCCTCGTATCTTTACTTTTACCTTTAAATATTAGTTGCCTATGCTTAATAGTTTGAATTAAGTTTTTTTCTAAACCATATTCAAATATAAATACTGTATTAAAGGCTTAAGCGCTTGCATTAAGATTAATTTAGAAATTTTAAAGTTTTAACACTTCAAGGATCTGTGAGGAAAAAAATACATTTTAAAACTTTAATTGTTATCCTTTTGGGTTTTTAAATAATATTGATTCACGCTTTTAAAAATGTTACTAATTATGCAGGATACACTATTTAAATTACAATAATTATGCTTAACCCTTAAGGTGTTATTTACTTATCAAACTAATTACATAGTTGTTAGTTGTTGTTATAAACTTAATTTACGTTACGTTGCCCTAAACATGTACTTATTAAAACTGTATAACTAGATATAATAATAAACAAATAAGTGCAATTTGTACCCACCCATTATTAGTTGCTTGTTGCATTTTTGTTGTTGGAATTAATGGTTTTAATATACGATGCATCAGTTGACAATCTTTACTTCTATAAAATAAAAAGCTTAAGAAAAAAATTGTTTTTAACCCTTAAAATAAATAAATAAGTAATAGAACTAATGTCATAAGACGTAATTTTCTCTCTCCACGACAAGTTTTTAATGGATGAGTGCGAGAAAACGTCTTATAAGATGAGTTATATTTTTTATATTTGACAAAATTTTGGTCATGAATTTTAATTAGACATGATGTCTTCTGTAGGGACAGTGAATTTCATTACTTGAATTTACTTGGTTCTGTCCTTTTACTATTTTATAGGAAATCAGTAATTTCAAATATATAGAAATCCATTAAAACATATTTTGAAAACTAACATAAATATTAATTATAATATAAATAAAACTACTTCTTTTTCACTACAAAATTTGTTCAGCATATTTTATGAATTAGCAATAAGAGTTTTCGCGTCTTTTTTAGAGCCAATATAGCTGTTTTACCGGATTTCAAAATGACAATATTAGTTGGAAAATTTTTTCTGTAAAAACCGAAATTTATCCCTTGTGTGGGATGTACTAAGAGTTTAAATTCGATATAGAAGCAATTTTTTACAGTAAAAGTAAAGATGATGTTTTATGGGTAGTCCACTTCCAGATCATCCAATTTATTACAGTAGAACAAAATTTGATTGTGATAATACCATATATTTAATATAAGTCAGCAGTGTTAAATAATAAAACAATAGAGTTATCAACTTGGGAATCCGTTTTTTATCTGTAAGTCTAAATATATCCCTTAAAAATAAAACGTTTAATCCGATTATAGGAGTCTCCAACCGAAATTAAGTTAAATCTAGTTTACTGCCGGCTAAATTAAAAGGTCAGTACAATGTTCATATAAAATTTTCAAATATTGGCGTTGAGAAACTATTTAATACTTGTATTTTTGTATTAATAATAAAACTTTTTTTAAAAGGCCTTAAAGCCACAAAGTCATGAAAATATGTACGATAATGGAAATTTTAAAGGTGGGAGTAGAAAAAATAATTTAAATGGTGAAATTTGTTTTTTTTCTTTAGATGAAACTTTTCCTTTTTGGTTACCTATTTTTTGGATCTTAGGCCCTGTATAAAAACATACGTATGCAGTTTATAGAAAAATGTCTAATTTATTTTTAAAAATATGGCAATAAAAACTGTTCGGATCGCTTCAAGTCATAAATTACAGTTCCGCAGTAAAGACTTCGATTGCAAAGCAACATATAATTTTATAAATATTTATTTAGTTTTTATCTTTAATATATGTTTCCACTTAAACCATAATTGAAACTATTTAACTAAACTATTTATAGACAATTAAAGTTAATTTATTTATGAGGTAACAGTAGTAAAACTCTGGCAGTTCCTACAATATTCACTAAACAAATCTGTTTGATGGGATCAGGTCCGTAATCTAATTTTAATTTAAAACAACTGTATTTATAAATTAAATATTTTGTTATAAAAATAAAAATTGATATCTTTTATAAATTTTTGTATGATATTTATTTAAAAAAATGGAACAGAAAACTGAGTTCTTCGTAACCAGGTTTTATTATATTGCCTGTAAATAATTATCGCCTTTCGCATTTAACGTCAGGATAACTATAAAAAAATCTAAATCACCATGCATTACTTTCTGCCTCTAAACATACCATGATGTAGATATGTAATTTTCATTTAGATTAAATTCATGCAATTTAACCGATGCAATACTAGCAGTTGCATACTTAATTTTACTTTGCTTAAGACAAAGACATAACCAGTTACATGGTAAATTTTATATTTGATAAAGAAAATATTTTTACAAAGTTTAGAATATTGCAAGAAAAAGTGTTTTTTTTCTATTTTTGGATATAGGTATTTAGGAACAAGAACTTCCTGTGATATGGTCTATAATAAAAAAAATATTTCAAAAAAACTATACATCATATTAAAGTTAACATTTATGATAATCTTTTTATACAAATAACATTATCCATGGTTATCTTTAAGTTGCAAATTTTTAACATTAACTTAATTCGAAAACTTTGAGTGGATTAATTTTTTTATTATATAAATATATATATATATATATATAACTTTAATAAAAAACAAGCAATGCTCCATAGGTCTGGACCTAAAAAAGATATCAAAATTTTTTCAAAACCGTTTCTAGGGTATCTGGGGGGACTTACAATAAGCTGCAGCCACCCCAAATCAATTTTTTTAATGGCAACTCCCTTTTTGTGAAACCTTATTGTAGAGCTCTTGAAAATTGCTATTTAACAGTAATAAAAAAATATTAAAAGTACGCACAATAATTTTTATAATTAATAATTCTAATTTCTCGTTATAAATATAAGATATCAAAAATATGGGGAAAATGACCATCCGTATGACCTTTTATAAAAATTTTTAACACCAACTAAGTTTTTACGTTTATCAAAAAATTAAATTATATATTTGGGGCTGGCCATAAAATACGTCACACCTTTTTGGGGGTTTTAGATCTTCCTTTCCCCATGTCAAGCATAGAGGAAAGTCCCCATTTTAATTTTTATAATTATTTTCTTTATTTAGTTATGTTTATTTTTCAATTCAGCAACGTTGGTTCTTTAATATGCAAGCAAGATAAAACCAGAAAAAAAAATCTTAAAACATAATAATTTTTGTGAAAAAAAAAATAATTTAAACATTCTGTTTATACTCCATATAAGGCCACCAGGTAGACTATTATGGGGTCCTAATTCAAGGTAGCTAAAAAAATATCTGGTGAAATTATAAAGTAAAAACAAACAAGAAAAATAAAAGGTGTTTTCAACTTTAAAATTTTATTGATATAATTCACATTAAAACCTAAAATAGATTTTTTTTAAACAACTAAACAAATTAAAATATATTATAACCTAAACAACCCAAGTACCATCGCACGTGATATTGGCATCCTATGTTTAAAATGGCGTTAATATGAGGTACCCAATATTAGAAATATTTTAATCCACCATATTAGGACGCGTTCGGCAAATAATAATACTAGTAAATAATGAAATATTTTTGTTTAAATAAAGACATTAACAAAAACCTATATGCACAAAATACATATTAAAAATCCTACTATTAGTATATACATAACAAATAGCCAGGACTTACCTTGTATTTGAAAAAACATCGTTTTAATAAGCACCAGCTTAAACCTATATCACCACTAAAACTTAAAACTAAATAAAAATGACAGAACAGCTAATCGGTACATGGCTTTAATATTAATTATAAATCCATAAAATAATAAAACATAGATGTATCTAGTTTGGGTGCAAAGATATATACCAAACCCCATATTAGGAATATACCCCATAATATGGGACTTCTCTTTAATAGCATTAGCACGATGTCACAAAGTTTTAGCCCCCTCCCTAAAAATACCAAGTAATATTTTTTCACAGTAATATGGGTTTAAATATATAAAAACATATTCGAAATTAGGCCACATATAGGAAACTAATTTTATGGTTTAAAATTCACAATTAAAACCTTTTACTTTTAAGAACACAATATTGCGAATTTTATTTAACAATACTTAATAATATCCAAAAAGTTTTGGTCATACTTAATGAATATTAAACCATAACAATTATTTCAATAAAAAAATTAAGTGAAATTATTTCTTTACTTTTGAAACATCATTAAACTATAACTTCCTTTACATTACATTACATTAGGATTACATAAATAAAATTTATATTAATTGCATTACATTTTAAATGTATGATTACTTGCAATTAATAAAAAATGTGTTCAAATGTCATTCCAAAATCATAAAAAATATTTTAAATATAAATTTTAATGCCCAGGCTTATATGGATATAAAGTTCTTAAAACAATTAAAACGTTAATGTAAGTACTAAACAAATTAATTCAACAATGTAAGTACTTCTTTCTCATAATTTTGATTACTTATGTTAATGTAATAAGTTCTTTACGACTGCCCACTCATTTTTAGTATAATAATATTGCACTAATCTTATTTTTAAGCAATAAAAATATTTTACTGTACAGGGGATTTAAGAAAGTAATATCATTCCCGTTAAGGGGAGGATGGTACCATATATAAGCGCCCACTACTTTACTAAATACTACAGTTGTTTCTTCATTTTATTCCGACAAACATGAAATTTCTGGTTGGTTTGGAGTTACCTAATACAAATCTGTTTATTATAATAATATTTTTCATTTTTTAGGTTTTATCTTTACTGGTAATATCGGCCGCTTTGGCCGAAGAATCCACCAAAAAGAAGCGTGGGCTTGAGCTTGGTAGCTATGGAGGTCATGATTTGGGAGGAAGTTTGGGAGGCCATGGCGGTATTGGAGGAGGATATGGAGGTGGCTACGGAGGCGGTTTAGGTGGTGGAATTGGAGGAGATGAGGGAAAAATCACCCATATTACTCTTCACAAACAAATCCATGTACCACAGCCTTATCCTGTACCAGTACCAATTGAGAAAAAAGTACCATACGCAGTCCCCTACAAGGTACCTTACAAAGTTGACAAACCATATACCGTGCACATTCCTAAGCCATACGATGTCCATGTAGACAAGCCTTATCCAGTTAAAGTTGAGAAAACCATCCCAGTACCCTACAAAGTGCATGTTAAGGTACCATACCCAGTCAAAGTACCCGTACATATTCCAAAACCTTACCCAGTTCCTGTACACAAGCCGGTGCCCGTTCATGTCCCAGAATACAACTTCGTCAAAAAACATGTCCCAGTCATCATCCACACCGGTCACGATGAAGGTTATGGTGGAGGCTATGGTGGTTCTGATGGAGGTTATGGAGGTTACGAAGGAGGTTCTCATGGAGGTGACTTGGGTGGTCACGTAATATCCACATCAATTGATCACGGTTCAAGTGGTGGTTCTGGACATGGAGGATGGATTGGATCATCGTCTGGAAAATGGTAGACAAATGTGATACAAGCAATTTCATTTTGTAAATATTTTCATTCTTCATTTAAAGATATATCTTCACTTCATCTTAAAATAGCTTTTTTAAGAAAAAAGAGTTTTTTAAGTTGAGGATCAAAACCTGAAATTTTGTGTGTGTACTTACATGCTATGGTAGCGTACTTTTGTGCGATTCCAGCATGATTATACTTCTGTGTTTATTTTATATTTTTCATCCATTGAATGTTATTTTTTTAATAAAGAGTCTATTAAAATATGTTTTTTATTTATAAAAATAGATTACATCCAAAAACAACCTAACAAAATTTTAATTTTAAATGTTGGAAAAACTTATAATAAAAAAACCTTTTAATAAAGTATTCAATATTATTCCGGATGTCTTTTTTTATTTAAAAACTTCTTTTAATATCTTAAATTCTTTTTTTAATATATTTATGTGTAATTTTTTATTGCATAATAAATTTATTTCCACGACTAAAAACACTATTTTTTTTTATTCTTATGAAGCAGAGTTCAATTTTATATTAATAAGTGCTTTCCCTACTAATTTTAACATTAAATGAATTTAAGTTTTTTTAATAAATATGAAAAATCTTATCCAGTTATTTTTAAGTTTATTAATATATTAATAATATTTATTTTTTAAATTAAATAAAAATGCTTAAAAAATTAACCAATGATATAATAAAATATAATTATATATTAAGTATTAGGGTGCTTTTTTTTCACGACTATTTTTATTTTTTCGCTCCCAACTCAAAGTCTTGATGAAAATGTTTAAAAAAAAATTTCCTGAAAATTTGAGCCTTTAATATTAACTCAAAGTACTCGACCAAAGCGTATAAAGATTTCCCATTTAAAATACACGTAAACTTTGATTATTTTTTTTAAATATCTATATCTCAGCCGAATTTTATGCTATTGGATTGTTTCAAAAAGGGGATTTACTCGTAATCAAAAGTTCTACAAAAATTCTTTATGTGCCATAGCTGTAATCTGCACCTGTAGGATGGTATGGGTCACTAAATCTTATTTTAGTGAAAAATGCTCATATTTTTGAAGATATTTCAAAAGTGACTGGATTCTTTCAAAAAATGTAAAGGACAAACTTGTAGAAAATTTAATTTTATTTAAAAAAGGTCTTTGATATTTGTTGAGATATAAAGCGTTTACATTGACAATTTATGAAATTTTTAGGATTTTCGTACCAAACTTTTTATAAATGATGATTTTCAATTGTTTATCAGTACAATTTTATCTAATTACGTTTTTTCTACAGTGGAGTAATTAGAGAAAAATAAATAACTCAAACAATGAAGCATGAGGCTCAAATTTTCATGGAATTTTTTTTGAACATTTTCAACAAGACTTTGAGTTGGGAGCGAAAAAATAAAAATAGTCGTGAAAAAATAAAAATAGTCGTGAAAAAAAAGCACCCTATTAAGTATTGGTTGATTTTTTAACAATTATGGATCTTTACTTTTGTTAAAAATTAAAACAACTTTATAAACAACTTTATCAATGAACAGGGCTGTATTAGGGCAAAAGGAGACTAGGACTAAAAGTGTAGGGCCCTTAAATTTTTATTGTAAATAATAAAAATTATAGATAATAATTTTTAATTTAGTAAATATTTGGAAAAGAAAAATGACTTAGATCAGTGTTTAGTAGTTCACACGAACAAAAACAACATAAATATTACTCGCAAAGTCTCTATTCTTTATTTTTTTATTAAAAACTAAGAACCTATATAGATTACAGATCACACTGTATAGTAGTTAGTCCTCATAAAATATATTTACTTATATGTTCAGTTAAAACATGGAAGGTAAAAATTTAAATATATATTTGTAGGGAGTTAAAGGCATTTTTTTAATTCATAGATTCAAAATTAATTTTTCGTTTAAACTAAATAAATTTTATATTGTGTGAGCAGTGTTATAAATAAATTAGAAGTACTCTTTATTGTAAACAATTTTGGTAGTTTACTTTCTTTTTAACAATAAAGTATAACAACATTATTTCATAGTGTATTCAGTGAAAAATAGATGGAGCATTTGAAACTATTTACATGTTTTCTTTATTGAAATTTGTTTAAATAAATTTGTTACGTATAATTTAAACAGAGGGAGCTTAAATTAATATTTTAATTATAAAAACAAATATTTTTTAGATTTTATCTAAACTTAACTTTTACCAAACCATGGGTAATAATTAGATATATAACTAGAATACTACCAACTAAAAATTAATTTAATTAATTTTATATTATAATATATATATATATATATATATTATATGATCGGAACTTTTGGTTTTGATGACTTATATTAATTTATAATTAAAGAAAACAGTGATAGAAACTTGGAGAATTGGATGCGGTAAAACTAAAATTGATAATTAATGGTATTACCGGCTCTTATTTTTTGGATTATAATTTAATTATAAAATACTTACTTAAATATATTTAAACAATATTTTGTCTTCGAAAGAATATAAACAATAAAAATCTTTTTGACACAATGGCATCTAGGCTTGCGCACATACTAAAGAGTCATACACGATTTAAAGAGAATAAATCAATTTTAAATTATATATAAAATGATAGAGTGAAATGGATGTGGAAATACTTCAATAAAATTTATAAAATATTAATAAAAGTGATTTTATTGTAATTTGTAAGTATTTTCCCAGGGAAAAATCAATTTTAAGTATGATTTCTCTTTATTTAAAACATGTACAGGAGACATACAAAAAATTATTTTCATTTTATTTTTTTAATTTTAATCTTAATAATGATAATATAACATTATTTTTATTTTGTTTAACATATATAATAAATATAATAATATTTATAGTATATATACTTTGCTGTTAATAATCTCAGTGTATTTTTTATTTAATTATTTATATGATAAAAATCACAGGTTCTTTTATATGGATAAAGAGACAGGGAACTCTCTACCTTTAATGTGAAATGAGTAAGTATAATTAATAGCAAGAATTATTAATAAAACACAACTATTTTCAGTATTAAGTTTAAACTTAAAGAAAAAAGTTTACCAAAGTCAAGGGTAAGGAATAAAAATAATATTCTTGAAAATCCTTTAAATAATATTATTTTAGGTAACATGTATTTTAATTGGAAATTATTTGTATGCTATTGTATGAAAATATTTTTGAAAAGTATAATGGAAATTGTATTCGAAGATATAAAAACAAATATAATACTAAATAAAGAAGAAATACAATTATTTTTAATTTTACTGGAATATATGAAACAAAATGTAAGATTTCAGCAAGATGTGGTAATTTTGTTTATAATAATATACGTAAACAAACATATCTTTTAAAAAGTTAATAGTAAGAATGGATTTGGAATGTTACCTTAAAGAAGAATTAATGTAATGTTTTAAAAGTGTTAGACATATTTGAAATTAAACAAAATATAATAAAGCTTATTCTTTATTGAGTTTTAGTATTATTATGGTATTTAAGTATTCTATAAAATCAGGAAAACCCTAAACTTTCATGTTAAAATTAATGTTTTTGAAACAAAAAAGCGCATTTTTTTCGTGAGTAGCAGTAGTGTAATATAAAAAATCACTATATTCTTTTAAATTTAAAATAAGTAAAACCACCCTAAACTTAAAAATTATTACTTTATTTTAAAAACAATCAGAAAGTTCAAGTGCAAATTAATTGTTTATTTTTATCATCATCAGGTAGTTTTTGTTCCAAACTAAATTGTCTTTCAAAATATGTAAAAGTATACATAAAATATAATACGTTAAAGAAAATGTTATATTTGTAATCACCAATTTGCTTAATGTACGATAATAACAATGGTGAATAGATAACTTTGGTATATGCAAAATTTTTGTAACCTGGTATATATTTTACTGACATCTCTCATACAAACCCTCTTAAAAGGTTAAAGCTTTGTTTTTGGATATAAATTTAACTAAACCCAACTATAAAACATTATGACCAATTGCATTGGGTCATAATTTAAAATTTTAGCAAAAATAAAATATTACCAAAATGGATTATACAGGGTGTTTTACATTCGTGGTCCATTTGAAGTTTTCAGGGATCGAAAAAAGGTATCGACTTGAATTGTTAAAAGCGTTTATAATCCAATGAAGTCTATTTTTCTGTTTTAACTTTGTTATTTGTTTTCGAGTTATTAATTTTTTCGTTTAAATTTAACAAACTCGCACTAATGAAAAATATGCTGTAACTTTTTTAGGTTTTGCGGATTTGGGGGTAAAATTTTTGTAATCTTAAAACATTGTTTAAAAGATTCCATATCAATTTGATAACATATTTTAACAAACCCAGGGCAAATTAGGCAAATTTAAAACGTAAATAACTTTTTATTTTAAAACACCTGGTATGCTTTTACCTAATGAAATGGTAAATTAAAAAACCTTTCGATTTATGTAATTAGGTGTAGGTATAGGGAAACCTAAAGTTAATAAGTTAATAACTTCAGACATATTTAACAATTTCTAAAATTTTAATTATTATTTTGTATTATTTTGCTAGTTTGTTAGTAAGCGATGTTAAATGCTATAAAGTAATGTATTATTACGTAATACTTCAATAAAAGTTGATTGGTGTCCTGTCATTTGAAATACGAATGGTTTGTTAACCCATGATTTACTTTACTTTACTTTGGAACTTTTGGACTTCACTTATCAATAGTTTAAATTGGGTCGTAAGATTGTTGTAAACTGGTGATTTTGTGTTGATCCAAAAAAGAAATCCAGTGTTTTTAAATCACAAGATTGCTGTGCCCAAGTCCATTTTAATGCCAACAACGTAACGTTATACCTAAACATAGAAAACTTTAATATTTTATTTTGTTTAATTTAAAAAGGCTTAGGCATTAAACTAGTTTAGCCAACCTAACTCACCCAACACAAACCAACTCATCTAACCCATGCCTTCTGAACTATAGTTCCTAAATCCCTAAATCCCTATAGAGATTTATAATTAATTACAACTATCTAATTTGAAATCAAAACACGATCAATATATTATTTTTAATAACGCAATACATTTGCTACATATTTTAAATATTGCAACTTATTATTATGATCATATGCAGAAACAACATTTTGTGCTCTCTAAAAATAAATTATTATACCATGGTTAACCAGCCAATTATTATGTAAAATTGTCTCCT